CTTACCAACCCGCAAAGTTCTCACAGTAAGTTTTGTGTAGTGAGGTGTTGAAATATTACACAGATATTCTCCACTGTCCCTCGCAGTAAGATCAAGCAACATCAGTGAAAAGTCACTTTGGTTGATCTGGACCCGAGGCTGGTAGGAGTGAGGTGTGCCATTGAAGGAGGCCAGGACTGAAACCGCTGTGCTTCTGATCAGCGTCCAGACTACGCTGAAACCTTCAGTGCTTGCAGTGTTGCTGCTGTGCTCACAAGGAATTGCAGCGCTGCTGCCTTCCACACCAGACAGTTCCTCTGAAATAGATCATTAAAGAACGCCCTGCAGTTTGTTTGTTTTTTTTTTTTTTTTAAGTACTGTGAATGTTATTTAGACATTTTCTGATTTTTTTTTCTGAAGTTTGATGCTACTGTGGACAAATATAAAAACATTTCACTATTTTGATATTCAAATATCACAGTATGCTTCTAGAAGCATCTGACGATTTTAAAAGAAAACCTATCTTACATTTAAAAATATCTAATTGGTATTAGCTACACTTACAAAAACTATTTTGTTGTCATTTGCCTAAGTCTCTTCTAATTGGGTGGCTCATTAATAGAAGTGATTTGGCCTAGTAAGTTACTTTGTGAAGTAGCATAAAAAATTCCGTATGTTTGGGGCAGAGAAACAATGCAACTACCAGATACCTGTACATTTAAAGCAAAAGGGTAAAGCTGTTACAACCTAATTTAACATAACAGAATAAAAAGATTCTATTTAGTTAGAAACAACTTTTAAGCTGTGGTGGATTTCATTACTTGTCTGTGTGGAACACTGAGAATTAATGAATAGCTTAAAAAAAAAACAAAAAGGAAGGGGAAGGAAAGAGCAGGCAAGTGGAACTAATAGCTAATGTATAAAATACTAATATATGAGAAATTAACATGATAGCACAACTATCAATCTGACAGCAGGGATATACTGCAAAAGAAAGAAAGACAGATGAGGCTGTGGTGAGGAGGAATGAGAGGAAATTAATATGCTGACATGGTATAATCGTGCTTGGTTTTGGGCAGGGGGGCCTAGATGAACAGAAGTGTGGGGCTGAAAACCATGAAGACAAAACAAAGCAAAACTGCACCCCACACTGCTATTATGTAAGGAAAAGGAAAGGGGTATATTTTCAATATGTTCCGGTAAAAGGATAGACAGGTGTAGGAAAATTCAAACAAAAATGTAATGAAATCTACCTTTCTCTTTTGTAGATCAGAGGGAGAGATTAACAAAATAAACTCTTACAATGTGTTTGTTACCTGCTATGATGCCATACTTGAAACCTTCCATATTGTAAGCTACTGTATGTAAATTAAAACCTGCACTTTTGTTCTGAAGCATATGCAGTGGATTAGGAACTGAGAGCATCTGAATACACTGTCAGGGGAAATCAGGGCAATGGAAGCAGCCATGCACATCCCACAAGGGAATAGCTCTTGCGTTACTCTTGAACCAGTTAAGAAATATTTCCTAAGAAACAGGGGAGTTGACAAGTACCAGCTATTTACTTGAACTGAATTTCCATTGAAATTCAAGAGAAGGGCAAACCAGAGAGATGAAATTTCATAGCTCTTCTCCTTAACCAAGTTTTCCTTAACCTTAAGTTGGTTTTCCTTAACCAAGAAAACAAGCTGCTGTTTGCTCACATGCAGAGTGCTTGCTGCTCTCTTCACTCCCCTGCACTCCCAACACTCAGCCCGGGCAGTTAAGAATGCACGTGAAGTACAATGAAAGGATCAAACGGTACTGACAGAAGTCTGGCAAAAGATGGGAAATGGACTAAGGAGCCTACACGTCTAAAGCAGCAGGCAAACTTTCACCTCCCTCATACAACCCATGGGTTTGTGAAGGTTTCCATGTAATTTGTCTGAGATGATTCTTGACTTGATAAAGTTTGATTATTATGTACCTCTTGAGATGTGAAACTGATACGGAAGAAATGTTCAGAGTAACGCTAACTTACACAAGTGTGAGCTACCCCCTCTCATCCCTACTTCTTGGGCATCTGCTGCCTTCCAGTTGTAACAGATGAGTTTCAAAGAGGAAGGAGCATCCTTTTGCAGCAGCCCATATCTGTGTTGCCCCGTTACAGAAATACTGTATTTAATTTGGGTCTGCAACCAGCTGTGACATTCAGCAATGATGTAGGAAGAGACTTCCATTCATCACTACCTTGCATCCTCCATTCAGCAGCCCACTCGTCATCAGGGAGATGAATATGACAATAGTAAGGATCAGCTGTGTTTGTAATAATCTGGTCACTTCTAAGAGAATAGAGACCTCCAACACTGGTTTCCTCATGAGCTGTATCTTGGATAGATGTATTGCCTTGTACCCAAGATATACGTGGTGCTGGATAAGTGAGAAAGGCATAGCACTTCAGCATCCTTTCTGAGTCTGTCTTCTGGTATTCCAGTGCATAATAAGCGGAAACTGTAGATTTAAAAATAAATAAACAAATAAATAAAATCCTACTACTTTAAAATTCATTTTTAACTTGAAATGATTGGTCTTTTGAAATAACATTGGGGAGAATAAACACCACTGAGAACAGAATCTAAGCTATGGTTGGTTTCAGAAGAAAGTACAGGACTACTTACTGTCAATGCCAGGGCCTGTACTCTTCTGAGAAGCGACACTCAAACCTAATCACCCCTTAAAAGTCATGGTGATGTAGGTTATGAGACCAAGTGCTTCACTGTAATTTTTTAATTCATAAAATAACATTTAACCAGAAAAAAAGAATTGGTGTTATCAAGATAACACCATCAGGCCCAGAAGCGCTCTAGTTGGTTAGAGGATTTTGACTCCATGTGAGAAACAACATGAGAAAAATCTGTTAGTCTAATCCCATTTCTGCTGTCACGACGCAAATGCCTCTGATGTCCTACTGACCTCTTACGTGCAGCATGACTTCCACTTCTGTTTTATTTTCCTGTGTTCCCACATAGCAGTAATAAAGGCCCTCATCAGTCCAGGTTAGGTTACTAAGTTTCAGGGAGGCATTTCCATTAGGAATGTTCTCGTGGAAAAGGTGTGTTCTGTGTCTGTAATCTGGGTCTTGTCTTTCCAGCTGATCCTTCTGGTAGTAGTAGCTGTGCACATTTTTGTCCCCTTTTTTCCAGTGGATTACTTCATCATCCCCAGGTGGAAAAGGACAAGGGAGGATGCAATCTTTGGAAAACAGCCCCGTTACCGTTTCCTGTTTTGTAGAACCTAAAGCCCGTAAGTACAAATGAGTAAATTAAATCTAGTCTACAAGCATATTTCTGCCCCTCCTTGTCCCTGTCAAAATTGCCCTGGTAGGCAGCACGCCCCTATTCAAAAAGCCAAAAGCTCTTTCATGGCTTTTCTATAGCATGAGTCTCTGGGACAGCAAGGGCCTTCACCCAGCTTAGTCAATACTGTAACACAGAGCCTGGTCTTGGAACTTATAATCACCCCAGATAGAGAGCCTGAGTAAGCACCTACATAGTCAAACCGGCACACTGCTACCTTAGCTCTTCAGCTTTGAATATATTTCCAAAAGCACTGCCTTCAATCTCAAAACCCTCTGACCTGCAGCTTGGCACTCGCTCAAACGTTCACAGCGCCACGTTGCAGTGAGCCAGGTTACCACTAACCCTCATGTAGTGCCACGCAGTTGTACTATCACAGGGAAAAAGGACAGAACTTGTTGAAACAGCATCACCACCACAGTGTCAACGAGCTCTGTCCCAGTCCCCAGAGGTAATTAAGGTGCGGATTCCTCAAAATTAATTCACACAATTAGGCTGGTAGGAAGTGTGTTGCTGCAGTTGTTTTCTCAGAAATTTTGATGCCCTCTCCAGCTCATCTGGCAGGGCAACCCACATGACTTTTCCTCAGTCTTCTTAGTGCAAAGTCAACCAATGCACTTCAAACCATTTTTTCAGTATGAACTGAGAGTTGCTGCCTGCTGAGCAGTCACACCATGCACTGAGCTGAGCCAGGGGGCAGAAACATTGGCAGTCTGAGTGCTCAGCGCGCTTGATGGCCTTGCCCATACATGCAAACATCTTCCAAACAGTTGTCTTTTGCTTTGGGAATGTTTTACATTACCCCACATTGATTCTTTACCATTAATAAACAGTGTTTGAATTAATTCCCCCCACTGAGTAATAACTGTCTTCTTCATTATTTTTCATAAAAATAGAGCTAAAACCTACCCCAAAGAGTAGCAACAATGTGAATTAAATAGATGAGAAGAGATGGCATTTTCTCTTATTTCATATCTTCTTTGGTTGACAGCAGACTCGTGTCAAACTGACTACATAAAAAGAAGGGAGAAAACCTGTTTCAATGCAGATTAAAAGACATACCCTAATTATACAATTTCCTTTGTACAGCTTATTAAGGATTGTAGGCCTTTGTATTGTGTTTTTTGTTTGCAACAGTCTTGGCCCATATTTTTTGCCTTAGGTCATTACGTAATACTCTAGATTTCATAATGGTTGAGGCTCACTGTCATGTAATCCCTTGCAGATTGATACTCCCTGTTTATTTTTAATAATCAGAAAATGGTTACCCTCAGTGTTCTTAGAGGGCTAGGGAACATTAATCTTCACCATTCATGAACAGGACACCAAGGAAAAATGGTCAAGTATAACTTCCAAAAGGAGGTAGGATGTCCCCTGTCAAGCCAGGTTTTTCTACTTCCTGAAATTTATTTCTGATTGTTGCAACATTTGACTTTCTAGGGTGGGAAATATGCCTGTATTTGCAAATACTGTGGATATAAAGAACTTTTCACACTTTACTCTTTGCCAGTTCAAAAGGGCATCAGCTGAACTTCCAAAAATGTGTGTGTGGAAGTCTAGGGTAGGAATGTAAAGGAAAAAGTTCTCCCATCTTGTCTTCTGGTTTGTCAGCTAAGTGAACTGGGAGTTCTCATGCACAACAACAAAAATAATCTTATTGTAACTGACAGACCGTACTCTTCCTCCACCCAACCACACTATCCTAAAACATTGTGTACCACAATAGAGAAATTACCTCATGAATCAAGTAGGCTGAAGAGATTTTAAAGATCTTCCCCCAATCCTTTTCTTCTCCCCAAAGGACAGCTATAGGTACCATTCCTATCTTACACAGGGCACAGGTTGAGCCAGGTTTGCTAGCCAGTTCTTTATAATACCAATGAATAATTTTGACTGGTGTGTGTGACTCTGTGTGTAGTGGATGTGAATCTTACATCCCAAGGATTTTTGCATGCTATTTCTTTTCTAAAGCTAGTGTGATTACTTTATGTATTCTCACTTTTCCATTTGGGTGAAAAAAAATCAACAGAGAGGCACCAAAATAATAAACTTGAGACAGAGATGATGCAAGAGTAAAACAAACATTTATGACATATAATTTTGTTCCATGTTAGCAGCAATTGCCAGCATCCACCTTTTCTCCTTGCACTGGCAAGTAGTGTACATGTTTTATTGGATTTTTTGTTCATTTGTCCATCACTTCCAACTTGGTTGATACAATATACTGTGCTTTATGTTTGAATTTCAGAAACTGAAATCAAGGCCAAATTTCCCCATCTACCACATTTAATAGTCACATTTAATTGGCAGTGATGTTCTGTGAGTAACATGATTTCAACAGTACCTCTGTGATGCCTTTCGGGGCTGCACCAACAAGTGAAGCCTGGACAACACAGGCTGCCTTGCATCTTCTACAGTACTTCATAATGCTGTAATGAAATACTTAACTCCAAATACTTAGCTGAAAATGTTCATATTCAGCACAAATATTAGCTTTGGATATTCCCATCAATAGTGTGTTGAGAAAAATGTTTTTTGCTCTGTAGAAAAATCTGAGGAGTGTAGTCTCTGGCCAGTCTTCTTTTCAGCAGGTCTGGAGTCTCAGAGGGATAAAGTCTATGTATGCTGGTAGAGTCACACGACAAAGTGCTGAAGAAACAGCTTTTTCTGTTGGTTAGAGACCCAACTGCCAGAACTAAGAAACCATGCCCTAAGGCTTTGTGGTGAAATAGCACTACGAAATTATTTATACAGATAGCATACAACTAGAATTCAGATCACTGAAGTCATGACAGTTACTGATGCTATAGTTTTCAAGAGACTTACTTCATGCAGAACCACCACAGGCTCAGCTGGGTAGCAGCTCAGCCCGGTTTCCAAGAGCAAGACAGGGGACTAACCGAGGCACTGAACAAAACAGTTGTAGAATGGGGAACACTGCTTTATAGTTGTTTTGGTCATTATAGGAAACTAACATCAAATGGCACATGATTGCTTTTTCTTCTGTTAGTCAGTGACTAAACCACGTGTCCCACCATCTGCATCTCCTTTGGAGACTGCATTCTATGTGAATCCTGATTGGAGCACTCCCTTAGCACACAGATATCAGGATTGATCTCTGCTCAGTGAACTTGAACTTTACACTTTGAAAGCAGCCATGCATATTTTAATGCTCTACCAACCCCAAACAAAAGTTATTTATTCCTTAGTAAAAGAATTCTGATTAATTCCTTTCCAAGGTAGCTTAACAACAGCACATTTCAAGCACATACACACAAGGACGAGAAATGCCCAAGGATTTCAAGTTTTACCAACACACAAACAAGAAAAACAAACACATAAAGTTATAAAAAACCCATGTTAATTACATACTGCTAAAATCTTGTACTAGCCACAATGATACTAGCCTTCCAGAATTTCCCCACAGAAATAAGTAATAGAAATAATTATTGATATAAGGAGTAAAAATAGGTTATTAACATATGAGGTAGAACAGAAGAAATCATTACACTAACCAATATGAAGGAAAACATGCTAAATTGCTAACAGGAAATAACTAACAGGATGAGCCCTGACACTAGGGACTATTGATTTACTAACCAAGGAGGCTAAAACAGATAATAAAGACTAACATATGCAGAGACATTTCCAGTCATAAAGAACAGAATTGATGGACACAAAGTAACATACATCACAAACTTAT